GGGAACACCTTGCACATAACAACATCATCGTCGGTGTACAGGCCGGCTTGCGTGTCGAAGGCGTCAAGATGTTCCTCCGGATCACTGGTTCCATCGTACCTCTCGAGGGCTAAGTTCTTCCAGTTGTCGGGTAATCTGGCTCCGGCGATGTTTGGAGTAAAGGGCGTTCTCCCTTGTCGCCATTGTTGGTCTAGTGTCATCGTCGTCGTCGCTCCGCCTGGTGGTCGAGGGACCCTAGTCTCTTTGTACCATCCCGATGACTCCCCCTAATCTCGGGTTGACTGAGTGTTGGGGGTACCATGGGATGGATGCCATGATCGGTTATCGCTTCTGAGCTCCGCGTTCTCTTTTCTTAGGACCGACAAATCATGGGCGTATTTTTCTCGGAGCCTCTTCAGTTCCATCATTTCGGCCTTCAATTGCTCGATGGTTGATGATGGGTTGGGTGGTTGAGACCGGGCTACGTATGACTCTTCCATTCCTTCCTCGTTCTGATTTGTCTGTTGTCTAGGCTCTCGGGGCATCCTGAGGTTGTGGGCTGCTACGTTTTCTTGCTGACTCCTGGTTGCTACCATCTTGATGACTCAGGGTCGAGAACCGTTTCGGTTTTCAGCCCCACGATGGGCGCCAAAATGTTCCTGTATAGAAACACTCTTCTTGTCGCTCCTTCCTATTGATCTTCCAAAATGTTCATGTATAGAAACACTCTTCTTGTCGCTCCTTCCTATTGATCTTCCAAGTCCTTGGTGCCGACCGAAGACTATCTTCGGAGGGTGGGGAGGGTACCTGCAAAGGCACTCCAACGATCAAGTAAGTATTCGGTAGAGAGCAATAAAAGCTTTTATATGGAATAAATGGTACCTCATTTATGTCCCATCACCTGTATATTTATAGTGACGTATTTGGGCCTGGTGGGCCTTCTGTCTTGGGAGATGGGTAATACTTTGGTTAACCTTGATCTCTCTTAATTAGACATGATAATCATGTGTAATGGATATCCTAATCTGCCCTGTGTTCCTCGTGAGTTATTCTTCTTTTGGGTCTTTGGCCAAGCTTAAGGTCGAAAGGGTATTCGGTCCGGTTTAAGGCCGAAGAGGTATTCGGCTAAGTGCAAGGCCGAGGGGGTATTCGGCCAGGTTCGAGGCCAAGGTGTTTTTTGAGCGTTTCTCCATTTGGATAAGCTTATGGCCGAAAGTGTATTCGGCCAATCTCAAGGCCGAAGAGGTATTCAGCCAAGTTCAAGACCGAGCAGGTATTCGGCCAGGTTCGAGGCCGAGGGGTGTTTCTCTGTCCATATTTTAAAGTGTTCCCTTCCTCATCCTGGGAAGAGTAACCAGGTGTTCCTTAGGCCGAAAAGGGGGGTTCAAGTCCAAGGCCGAAGGGGTATCATAAGTGGAGGCTTTCACCCATTTTGGTGTCTCTTTCGGCCTAGTGTCCGACCGTGAGGGTGTTTACTAGTACAGAAAGTAAATTTGAAAACTATTGAACACAATGGAAGCCTAACTATAGGAGCTCACCAATGATCTAATGATGAACATGAACTCAAAAATGCAAAAAGAAAAGCAAACAAGCAAGGCACATATGATTAGAATTGAATCTCAGCCAAATTCAAAAAGAATCAAAAAATTTTCAGCATATGAACATAAGCACATCTTGAATTTTTTTTGACATTTTAAAGGACTAACATGACTTGACAAAACTTAAGATTCAAAAATCAAAATCAAACACATGCGTAGACAATGAGATGACCAAATCAAACAAAAGAAATAAGCAATGACTCAATCAAAGCAAAAAATAAGCACAAGTAGAATGCCTAATTTGTAGTAATTACCGGATTGAACACAAGTGACAATCACTAACTTGGATCCATCAAATTTAAGCCAAAACTTTAGATCCAAACAGCACAACCAATATGAGGCATAGGAAAACACAAAAAACACAAAAATATTCGGTGAAAAGAGATTACTTAGCTCAAGGAAGCAACCTTGCTCATGATACCACTTGATGGAGTAGGGTGAAGCAATGGATGGAATTCTTGCTTCTTTGGACCTTCTCCGAATATGAAGACCTTTTCCTTGAGGCTTCCACCGAATAGATGATCAAAGAAGAAGAGTGGTTCGGTAGGATAAGATTCATAGGCTATGGATGGAAGCATCCAAGCTCAAGAACCAAAAGAAAGCTCACTTTCAAGTCTAGGAATGGAGGTTTTCCTAGAACTAGGGATAATGAGATTTCGGTGACCTTTGAGAGAATTTGGGCTGAAGAAAAATTCAGAAATTCTCATTCATCAAAAGTGTTTACAATAGTGAAGGATTCAAGCATATAAAGTCACGGATCAAGGAGCCATCACATGTGCACTAAAAGTGGCGCCAATTTTGAATTCAAATTTGAATTTGAATTCAAATTGAACGTCCACTTGTCCTAATCCATGTGCAACCCTTCCTTCTAGATTATTAATTGCATTTAGAAGTAATTTAGGGTTCATTTGAATGTACACATGTGCAGCCACCTTTGGCACAAAACATGTGACTCAAATGAAACTCTAATTACTCCTAAATGTAATTAACATTCTATGATTCATGCTTTATTACTTAATCCTTCTAAATTCCTATTCTAATGGCTTAAATACAATGGCCAAGCAAATAGAATGGAAAGGAAAAATTACAAGAATGAAAATGAGCTCAATATTGGGTACCAAAAGCCCAAAGGCCCATGAAGCCCAAAACTAGGCCCAATAAGCCTATGGCCTAAAATGCTATCCTAAATGGTCCAAAATACAAGACTCAAAATATAGGAAACCTATACTAACATGATATATACAAGACATAAGAAAATAACTAAAATAAGATATGGCCCATGAGAAGTTCCACTTGGGTCTTCCAAGCCCATTGGGCCCATTGGGCCATGATTGGCCCAAACTTTCATGTCTAGCCCATTCCTCTTGGCTCTTTCAATGTGTCACCCTTTACCTTCCTAGACATGATTCCATCAGTACGTATCTACCATTTTCAGAAAATAAAAATGATTCATATATTTTTAGAGATAGTTATTTTAGCTCTAAAAATGACATTATTGATATGATAATTAAATAAATACATGTTGTCAGTGATGTCTGGTGAGGAATAAAATTATCTAAACTTCAATACTTCTTTTTCATGATCAAATAATGTTTTGAAGTTAAAAGTTAATGTTCTAGTTATGCATATCAAGAAATATTGATTGTAAGAATTCATGGTATAGAGGAGAGAAAAATAAAATAAAATAAAAATTAATATGAATATATCTATAAAAAAATTACATCAAGACTTTATATTGATAACAAAAACTAATAACTTTATTAATTAATTTATATATAAATATATTTCTAATATTGATTATTCATTGGAATTGTATAATGGTATTTGACTAAAGGCAAAATTTTGTTTGAAAGTAAAATTAGTCTAAAGCATTTATTTTTAGACTTTCATTTACTCCTGATGTAAGGATTCCTTTCAAATTTCAATGGAAACACTTGTGACTATTTCTTTTACAATGCTCATCAACAAAAATTAAAGACATTATTTAAAGAGAAGACATTCATTTACTGGAAGAGTAAATCTATCTAAACTTACATTGTTAAATTTAAAGTTCTTAATGCATAGATTAAGTCCGCAAATTTTTAAAAAAATTTAAAAATTATTTGATACTTTATTTCGTTGATTCAAATTGACGGATAATTTTGAATTAATGAAACAAACTATCAAATGGTGTTCAAATTTCTTAAAATTTTGCAAACTCAATCTATATATTAAGAATTTTAAATACAACTATTAAATCGTTTAAATTTAATATAGAACATAAATTATTGAACAAAATAAATTTAAATAATCCTAAAATAAACAAATCATTCCTTTCCTTTAAAATATATTGAAATATTCCTACCACGAGTTTTCTCATATGACCAGCTATACAAAATTATATCAAGAGTTATATCATAAAGGTCTCAAGATTTTGGTTAAAAATAATGAAAATCTAGATACTAACATTTCTTTAAATGTGGTTTACAAAGAAATTTATTGCAATATATGAATAAAGATAATTCTATATTTAAATTAATTTTTTTCTTTTATTTAAATTATAACTTTACATTTAGTTTATCAATTTTTATAACAAAACAATTATTAATTATAAAAATTATATAATTCTTTGATTTAATGATTCATATTATTTATTTCACAATTTTTATTAAATCTAAAAAATGTCATTTTCATTATCACATGTAGGGTTGAAAAATGTAGTATAAACCTTATTATATTTCACGTTGCAATGTAAACATTAACACATGTTCAGAGGATGTATGTTAATAAAAAATTTCTTATCTCTCATATCAAAGTTTCGGAGTACATGATCCCATTTTTCAATATTTCTCTCAAGTATTATACACATTAGTTACATAAACTAATTATTTCTTAAATCAATTAATAAACACTATATAACCAATTTTTTCAATTATTATAAAATAAACATAACAATATTTTTAAATTATAAATAACATAAAATTTTAATCATACAAATAATAGATATAATATATATTTTAATTATATTTATGATTATATAAAGTATATTTTTAATCAATGACATGCATGCACGGATAAACATACTAGTAAGAACTAAAATAATTTTTTTAAGTATATTGACTAATAAGTAAAAATCGTGTAAATTTAAGAGTTAAAATATAAAAATACTAAACTAGTATAAATATATGATCTAAAATGTAAAATATGGTACCATGTTAAGTATGGATCAAATGGGAACTAAAGATGTTTCAACTGAAACTAAAATAAATAATTTTTAGATAGAGTTGAAAAAAAATAAAATTTGTACAACTTTAAATGAATTAAGTTAAAAGAAATAAATGAATAATTAAATCACTAAAGAATAACTCATAAAAACACCAGTTATTCCTGATTCCTGATTTATACAATTATACATGTGAAAAGTTGTTTAAGCCTTCATCAGCGGTGGCATTGGCATCTTCAGGTACACACCGATAATACAGAAACAGTTTAACACTCACACTCACTTGTCATTGTTATTTTTGTTTTATCTTTTGTCGCAACCTGTGACCGTTCGAGATATCCGAGGCCACTCTTTTATATGGTCGTTGATAAAAATGGCTTCGACCCTTTTCACAAAGATGCTTTTGACTCATCGCTTGATTCACCACTCCTCCTTCCTCACTCACCAACCACGGATTCTCTCTTCTTTTTTCACTGTAAGGTTCACTTTTCTGTGTGAAATTTCATCTGGGTATCCTTTTCCCCCATAAAATTTCTGTTTTTTTTTTTTTTTTATTCCTTTGTTGATTTCCCCCTTACTTTTGTGCGTGTGAAAATTTGGTCTTTGTGTGATTTTGTTTTTCTTTCGATTTGTGGGTATCTGGGTTATGGCTTCTCATTAAAGTTTTGACTTTGGAGTGTGAGGGTTTGGGATATCTGTTGGTTCAATTTTTTTGTTTTTGTGTTCTCTGTTGTCGATCATCTATCTGAGTGATATAGAGTAAGGATCTGCTGTAGTGGTAATTTCCCACGGCATATGTTTCATACAGCTTCAAATTTATTGGGTTTGGTGTTGAATTAATTGTATCAACTGAAGTACCATTAGCATGTTCATAATACGTTGGTGTGGATGGTTCTGGGCTTTGCATGGTCCTTTTAAAATGAACACTATTTGGTGGGGATTGATTTTAATATTTGTACATATGAAATGGATTAAAAGATAGTACCAATTGGTCATCAATTGGAATTTGAAATGCTAGTTTAAATTTTGTAGGTTCACTTTTGAATTAGTAATATTATAATCCGATTTCTTTGCATTGTTTTTATGAGTGCATCATTGATAATTGATATAAATAGTAGTTAGTCTTTGAGATACAAATGTGTGCATTTATATATTTATGACGGGGTGCGATTCGGGTGCTACTTTTTTATGTATAAAAGTTGATAGAAAGCAATTGAAAAATGTTTTTCAGGCAATTGATCACATATATAACTTTTCCTTTCATAGTAAATAGTTTTTAATTTGTTCTTATATTTTACTTAACAAAACAACTCTTGGATTCTTGATCTCAAGATACCATCATTAATTTATTTTGTATTGTGCTATTGACCTCCAGATTCCCCTTGTTCTTTTGGCCAAGATCTTATTGTATAATTCATCTTTTACTTGCAGAAACGGCTGTTTTGTATACGAGCTGTCCCGGTCCCAGCCTATAAAGCCCAAAACATTAAAACAACTAGTTGGGCTCCTTGTATGGCTTCTTCCACAGTTGGTAGAGGAGCTACATATTCAACACAATCTGTATCGACAAATGAGCCAGTTGTTTCTGTAGATTGGCTTTATGATAACCTGAAAATGCCAGATATCAAGGTACTTGCCTAGTTGCTTTTATTGCTGACCTTATGTTTTTCTTGCATATTTTATATTCTATACATTAGTAATTTTGTTATTGCTGTTGCTTTTTCTTTTCTTTTTTTTGTTCTATACAGTCCATGTGTGTTGAAAATTATTTATTCAATTCTGATTACAATTTCCTTTAAATTAATAAAAGGGTAGAAGCTGAGAATTAAGAAAACAGCTTCCTATAAAAATGCTAGGTTTACTAATTTAATCAGAATTTGGGCGATGAAATTCCATTCAATCCCTTTAATTACTTATTGACTGAACTCTGTTGCTGTAGTGCTGAACCATAGATCACTGTTGGGACAGCTATTGTCAAACTGTGTCGGATGTATATGATTTAATTAAACACCCTGTTCTTTTGATCACTAATTTTGTAGTTAAACATCTGGGCACTTGTTCAGACCCTGTATATCTGGTTGGAGAATCACATTATTTCGTGAGTATATTTATATGAATATTAATAATGATATCTAGTAAAATTAGCAAAGACAGTATTTGCAGCCATATAGTGTCCCCAGCTTGTAACTGATTGACTTGATCACTGACTCAATCACTTATTTAGGTGATTACATGGCTGTCTTGAAACTATATGATGAACCTGCTATAATTGGATTCAATTGACTTTATTTCTACATCTTTAAAACTCATTACTACATATGCGAGGCATGGTCTGAAAAGGACCCCTTCATATGGTATCCTTATTTGCTATTGAATTAGAATATTCATTTAAGTAAACTTATCTTGCCTATTCTATTATTTCTATTCAGGTACTGGATGCATCATGGTACATGCCGGATGAGCAGAGAAATCCAATTCAAGAATATCAGGTATCAACATGATCTTGTTAGGAATCACATTCTCAAGACTTTAGAGTTCTGAACAATTGAATGATATATGGGTGTCACTTGAATATGTTCTCGTGTGCACTTAGTTATATAATTTTGATTTTCTTTTACTGTCCATTTTGCATTAGTGTGTATTTTGTGTAACACCATATGCAACAGGTTGCTCATATTCCTGGGGCCCTTTTCTTTGATGTGGATGGAATAGCAGATCGTACTACAAAAGTAAGCCAATCTCTCTTTTTGTCATTCCTTTTGATGTTTATAATATACACATTTATATCGTAATTTGGTTTACAAATCTAGTCAGTAATCTTCTGATCTTGCTGTAGTATATTATAAATTACAGAAAGTGGCATGAACTTACTAGTTGGCATGTCAGTGCCACATGCCAACTGCCAAGGGATATTTTGCAACTTTAGGGACCTTAGAATAATGACTGACTGATATTTCTACTTTATTTTGATTAGTTTACTCTACCAAGGGATATTTTGCAACATTAGGGACCTTAGTATGAAGACCGACTGATTTTGAAACTTTTTTTTGATTGATACTAGTTTACTCTTTGGAATTTGGATACTTGGGACTTTCTCTGTTGGTTATAAATTATATTTAATATTTAAAATATTTTCTTTTAGTTTAGAATATTTGGGTTATTCATTGTTTGGACTCTTGTTATATGAGTAGTCATTGGTCTTAAAGGTTATATGATTATTTTATTGTTCACTTCTTGGTTGGAAGTGCTTTTGCTCAAGTCAATCATGTGTGTTATATATCTTGTCCTTTAATGCAGTTCATTTTTCTATTATAGCTAATATGATGATAAAACTCAGTATTATTGATTCATAGGTAGCCCTCTGTAAATACAGAGAAAAAAGTAAGAACAAATACCCCAAAACCAATGCAAGGGTCCCAAATACAAGGGAACTCCTAAACTCCTCTCGATTCACTCAATAATTGCCTTCCATTGCATTCTCTCCCCACCCTTCACATGTATTCCACCCTTTTATCATCATACCAGTGATTGCCGAATCATTTGGTGATAATTCCATAATCATTCTTCTCTCTAATCAAAGCCCGTGACAGCACGAATTGCTGTTGAAACTTGACATCCTCAACATCTCCTTGATTCCTCTTTGCATCATGTGGCCCAATTTGCTCCCATTGCCCATTTCTTTCATTGCCTCCTTTTATAGATATGGGGTAGAGAGTTTATAATATGTGAATGCTAACTTGTATTCATTGATTAGTTACCACACATGTTGCCTTCGGAGGAAGCTTTTGCTGCTGCTGTTTCTGCTCTTGGCATAGAAAACAAAGATGACTTGGTTGTTTATGATGGAAAAGGATTATTCAGTGCCGCTCGTGTTTGGTGGTAAGGCTTTGTTGTACAAAAAAGAATATAAATATTTTGTGGATTGTGGAATCATAGAATTTGCTATATAATTTAATTAATACCTCCTCCTTGTGCTTACCGATTAAAAGGATGTTCCGAGTGTTTGGGCATGACAGAATTTGGGTATTAGATGGTGGCCTGCCAAGATGGCGTGCATCAGGTTATGATGTTGAATCTAGTGCTTCAAGTGATGCTATTCTTAAAGCCAGTGCTGCTAGTGAGGCTATAGAGAAAGTATATCAGGGACAAACAGTGAGTTTGGAATCTTTCCATCTATTTTAATATGATTTCTATTTTCTCTATTCTTTTACTTTGAATAATTTGGTTGAATTTGATGTTTATATTTAGTTTCAATCCATTGATTCTCTCATGTACTTTTTTCTTGCTAGGTTGGCCCACTCACATTTCAGACTAAGTTTCAGCCACATCTTGTTTGGAACCTGGATCAGGTTGGTTGCTTTATTAATTGTTCCATATATAATGCAAATTCTGAATATGCATGTCTTTGATTTCTGAAACAAATAAATGTATTGTGATAGTACTCCATTTTAGAAATATGGCTGTTGATCATGCTATAATCTCTTAAGCAATTGATTAAATTATGCTGACTATTGATGGTTGTAGAAGTATCTAAAGGCTTTTTGGTAGAGAGCTTATGATTAGTTACCACAAGGATGATGTTAGGTTTGAAGTAGCAGCTGCAATTTGAGAAAGATCTTAAGTAGCTTGAAACTCTGAACCCAATGTTTTAATGGACTATTTTCCTGCTTTTGTGTCATTTCATTGTTCTAACATTTTAATCACTTGTCAATAATTGAGTCCAGAAAATATGAACTCTATCAATGCAAAGAAACAATATGAAATAGTGACAAGATCACATGGACTCATGGAATCATTGAATTTCTTATTTTTAAGAAATATTTATCTCAAACATCATTCAGTATGCATATTCTAAAGCTGTATATAGAATACTGGAGTTTCTTTCTAGTCTCAACCAAAGTCTTGATGCACATACTTTGATGTTTTTTTTTATTGGTACAACGTAAAAAACTTCATTGGGATGTTTATGGAATGGATCCGTAAAGTCTGATGATAATCTTAGATTTGACATCTTTGTGTAATAAGAATAATAATATAACTTGAATCGAAACATGGTAACTGTTGATAAATCTACTAGAAATCTTCCTAATTCATGTTGTAATCATTGATGGAAAAGTTGAACACATTGATGCAATATGATTCTCGATATTGTTTGGTAATATTAGTCTTTTGAAATTCTTTGTGTATCACTGGTAAATACCAAAATTAACTGAATTAGAAGAGGCAGCATATACAAATTAAATATATTTTGTAAGTTCAATGTTTTCTTATTTTTTGTTTATTTCTTGTTATAGGTAAAGAAAAATATAGAGGACCAAACTCACCAACACATAGATGCTCGATCAAAGCCCAGGTATTTTACATTTCCTCTTAATTCCTTTTTTTTTATTTTTTATTTTCATATCATCTCAGGATATGCATGTGACATAGTTATCAATCCAGATAATCACACAATGTAATTGACTCAAAAAATGTTATAGCAAGATGGCTGATGTACTGGATATTATAGATATATGATATAAATGTTCAAAATTAGAAAATTAGATGTACTGCACCAAATTTTAATTAAGTTGATTGAATTAAATAGAAAAAAGGAAGATGATAGACTTAGTATTAAAAGAAATACAAAGAAGGGTGTGATTTGTGAAAAGCATAGGAACAGAGGACTGAACAATATGAGTGTGTGAGCTGTGTGAAGAGCATACGCACTACAGAACACAAAAAAAAGAATAGAGATATGTGACAGAGGTAGGATGTGAACTATGAAGGATATGAACAGACAACAGAGATCCACATGAAGGATGTTCATGGTTGAGCAGACCGGCAGAGGATGCCAGCAAGCAGTGGGTGTACCAGAAAATAGCAGACTGGAGCAAATACGATGCTGATGATCAATGAGCAATATATTTTGTCAGAGTTTGCACAGAGGTCAAGTGTTTTGTGTGAATCATTGACAAAGGTTTCAAACTCTAATTTTTCTAATGACAAAACGCTGTAGAAATTGTAATTCACAAGAATATAAATAAGTGGGTTGAAAAATTCAGAAAAGGAGGCAAAAAGGGTTTTTGTTTTTCTACAACTGTTCGCCATAGTGGCTTCAATAACTATTATGTTGCACTTTTGGGCATGACAGCTGTAATTCTAAAACACTATCAAAAGGCATGTAGTAACCACCTTGCCTGATGTGACAGTGTCATAACACTCAATTACTGCCCTGGCTTGTAGATAATGAGAACTGATACCTTAACATTCTTCCTTATGGATATTTTCTTTTCAATTTTTTATAGTGGTAAATGTCTTATCCCACCTAGTGGGAGAAAACTTTGTTTGTCTATGTTGGTAGATTTCTTTTCCATGGACTTACTGATGAAGATCCAACCTCCCTGTTTCAAGACGATCCATTGATGTTTCAAAATCTTATCACTTACTATTTCTTCTTTTAATGTAAAAAAATGTCTTTTTACTTTGTATTTTATATTTGATGTGCATTTCTTGGATTTATGTTGATTTTATCCTTTGGCAGGTTTGATGGAGCTGTACAAGAGCCTCGAAAGGGAATCAGAAGTGGTCATGTACCTGGTAGCAAATGCATCCCTTTTGCCCAGGTGCAGCATATAGTCATCTATGTTTTGTCTTCATTACCCAGAGAAGCATATTAGTTTTATCTATTAATATTGTTGTCTTTGCTAACTTGTCTTAAGGTTTATTTCTTCTGTGTATTGTCTTGTCTTCATCTAGCTTTGTCTTCTTAAATTTAGGCCGTATCTCAATAAACAACTTAATTAAGTGCATATTCAACAAGCTTTTCGCGTGAGAACATGCCTATTGGTTATAGAGGGAGGGACCAGGTCTCTATATCACTATATTATGTACTGTTACCCTATCATTCACTAGTACGATCTTGATATAGGTTTGTAGATCGTTGCTTCTGTCAATAAAGATTGCATGCTTACCACAATTCTTAGTTCTGATAGAGTTATATTATACTAACTTATATTATTTTAAGATCTGGTTGGTGTATATATGTATGTATTTGTCATATTTTTAATCAATGCTATTTGTCTTCATTTGCAGTTGTTAGATAGTTCACATGCATTGTTACCAGCGGATGAGCTGAAGAAGCGATTTGATCAGGAAGGTGTGAATGTTTTCCGGATGGATATTTATAATGCTAAAATCTATTGCATTTCTCTGCCCTTGTTAACTAACATTATACATTACTTTTGATCTGCAGGCATCTCTTTGGAAAAACCAGCTGTGACTTCGTGTGGAACAGGAGTAACTGCTTGCATTCTTGCACTGGTACATCTCTCTTTGGATGAATCTATTGATATGTTTGGCTTTGTGGAAGGGAATGGATAAAGTTACTTCCTTTATGATCAAATAATACCAATTTCATGATGCTTATAAAAGAGGAAAAATTGTATGGAAAGGATTTTCATAAGTCAGTATCTTCCATTGCTTACGCTTTTCATTTAGTTTGTGTGAGATTTTTTTTTAATTGTCCTTTTGATTCCTATAATTTTATCACCTTTATTTAGTCTCTCTATATAAAAATAATACATTTTAATCCCTATACACGTCGTTTTTGTTTGTTTAGGGTGTTTAGTCCCTAAGTTTCATAAGTTTTATCTTTTAGACCCTAAAGAAATTGACGATGAGGATAAAAGGGAACAAAAGTGTTATATGTATAGAAATTAAAATGAAACTTTTTTAATAAAAAGAGATAGCTGTTTCAATGTGTGATGTTTCATCCTTTTTACTGTAATAATTATCCGGAGTTGAGATTCTGTTTTAATCAAAATTTAAATTGCAATTAAATTTCACTGCACTATACTTTATTTAAGCTCTACAGTTGAATTTCATCCAGAAGTAACATGTTATTAGGCAACATTGCAACATGGAAAATAGGAAATCTCTTTTCTTACTTTTATTATAACCTCCTTTTTCAGGGTCTTCATCGTCTTGGAAAGTCTGATGTTGCAGTTTATGATGGATCTTGGACTGAATGGGGAGCAAAATCTGATACACCCGTTGAAACTTCATAAATTCAATGCAATGCAGCTAGATTTTCATGTCACCAAAAAGCATCTACAAGTGAAGGGGCTGTATCCACTTGTCAAACATTTTGAACACTCCAATTTTTCTTTGCCTTACTGTTTTTTGTTTTTGGTTTAATGGTGGTTGAATTGCAAATGTGTTCCATCTCAAACATTATCAATATTAAATCCTATCATGTAGTTTACAAAAATAATGATAGGATTGTTCAAGAATATCTCAGAAAAGTTGGAAACTGTTGGGTTTGTTAAAAATGATAATAAGGTTTTGGCTAAAATAAAATTTTAATCTCTTATTTTTATATTTGGTTTTCTAAGTTTAAAAAGTTTCACTTTGATCACTTAATATTTTTGTTAGATAAAGTTGGTCTTTTTCTAAATTTATTTCACTAATTTGATAAATTTGATGACGTTATGAGGATGTCATGTCAATCTAAAATAGACGCGGCTAATACAAAAAAACTGATGGAATGATACATTTGATTAATGAAAATATTTTAAGTAACCAAAGTGAAACATTTTAAATTAAGGAATCAAACTAAAACTTCAAATAAAATAAAGTTTTGGTGTTTAATTTACTTTCAATCAAAAGTCAATTTCTCAAATAAGCTTTCCATCTATAATTCTTTCATTGGTGTCAACCATATAGACAAATAAAAATAATGTGAGGATCATTCTATCAATTGCATGCACAATAACTAAGAAAATTAGGATTTAGGATTCGATCATTTTATCAATTGTGTGCATAATAACTAAAATTTGAAAATTGTGTGCACAATAACTAAGAAAATTAGGAAATCTGAGAAAAGGGTTTAAAGGATCTACAATAATTAATTATATGTGCAGACTCATCATTCAACTTAAAAAAAAACAAACCCTTAGATCATAGTATGACAAAGTTGAAAACAATTTGCATAATTGAAGTTTCAAAAACATCAGGAATGCTGAGTGCGAAACAATGTATGACTTCAAAAACAAATCCTGTGATCATAGTATGGTAAAGTTGAAACAACTTTGTGTAGGTGAAGTCTCAAAACACAAGAGTGACACTTAATTTTTTGATCTCATAAATAAGGATCATATTACATTCTTAATTTATGTATATGACATAATTATCCCGGAAATAGTTATTTTTTACACTCATTCATAAAAACAACTCAATTTTGTGTTTGCATTAAAAGATCTAGGTAATTGTAATAGATAAAAAGTAGGAATTCATTATAACGGTAAAGTTGTAATTTGGATTATATAAAAACCCCTTTGTATGTGTAATAAGGACTACGCAGATAAAATTTGTAATTCTTCTTGTTCTTCTTCAACTTTCATCTTGAGAGTGAGTGTTGTTAAGGCATATCAATTCAACCATAACAATTGGTATAAACTAAGTTGGAGACGATGGTGACAACAAAAGAACTCGAGACACGCATAGATGCAATGGAGAAGATGATGACAGATTCGCAAGAATTAACAAAAAGACCTTGGAAGCATTGTAAAAATTGATCGATGAATTAGTTTCCTCAATTACAGCCCTAAATGCGGACCGAAATATCACAACAGAGAGTGAATCACACAATAAGACGCTAGAAAATCCCTCCTCGGTTCTTGATAGAACCCAACTACAATTTCCATCCTTTGATGGTACCAATTTCCGTGAATGGCGTGCAAAAGCAGAACAATTCTTTGAGCTCGAAGGCACACTAGAAAAATAAAGAGGTCATCTAGTTCTTCTCTCCATGGATTGCAAGACATTCTCATGGCAACGCCTTTACATTCAAATTGCAGATTTTCAGAATAAAATATGGATTCAGATCTTGAAAGATGCTGGAAACAGGTTTGACGATGGAGCATTTGATGACCTAGTTGCAGAACTTGCAAGATTGAAACAAGAAGGTTCTTTAATAGAATATCTAGAAAATTTCAATAATCTCTTGGCCCGTGTGACAATCTCCAAGGAGATAGCATTAAACTTCTTCCTCTCTGGATTATGTTTGGAGTTGGAGAAATCAGTTTGTGTTCATCGACCATCGACAATCCAAGACGAGTAAGGTTGGCACATTTACAAGATGAGGTGCTTCAAGAAATCACAAAGAAACTCAATGGGAACAAATCAACTAATGCTGAGACACAAGTATGCACGATCCTGGTCTCATACAAATCAAACCAATAGAAACCAACCTATAATGAGATTCTACTACAAGCTCACTCTCTAGGAAAGAGGTTGGTGAACGTATTTCGGAAGGATTATGTCATTTTTGTGGTGAGAAGTGGGATAAGAACCATAAACTTGTTGGGGTTTTTTCATGGTATTTGTCTGAGAGGATATTTTATGAAAGTTATTATTATAAGGTTATTACACAAGCATACTCCACAATGATGAGATATTATCCGCTTTGGACCTAAGCCCTTACGATCTTGCTTTTGGTCATCACCCAAAAGGCCTCTTAATCATTGAAGTATGTTTGTATTATATAAGTTGTTATTTCTTGTCTTATTTTATCGATGTGAGACTTGTTTGTATCCCAACAAAACTTAAGTGTAAAGTTTGGGGAAAATTAAATGCCATTTTTTTTTGCACAAGAAGAGTTGGATGAATGTGTCAATTTAGAGTCCAAAAAAGAACAAGATCAGGAATTGGTAGAACAAAGTCTAGAATTAGTTAAACATTCAGCTGTTCATATCTCTATACATGCATTACAAGGTGTAGCGGGTGATAACACTTTACAATTGAAAAGACTTATAAAAAAATAAGAGGTTCCCTTCTTGATGGATACAGGAAGTACACACAATTTCATTGGTGAAAAATGGATGAAGCTGTTATGATTAAAAACCACATTCATGAGGGACTTTCCTGTAATAGTAGCATCAGATAAACAACTAATGATTACAATACAATGTCCTCAAGTGACTTGGAAATTCAACAACCATTTGTTCATGGATAATTTCTTGGTTTTGCCTAGCAGCCATTTTGGAGTAATTTTGGGCATGTAATGATTTAAGACACTAGGTGAAATTTCTTGGAATTGTGCTCAATTAACCATGAAGTTTCAGCATCAAGGAGAGGTAGTCACATTACAAGGCGAGCAACATAATAGTGACACCATACAAGTCTTGGGAAATCTGAAAACAACACAGGTTCATACCATGTTACTTGCTATATAGGCGGCAGTTTGTTTCCAAGCTATAAATAGTCCGAAAGCTCCAAACTTAACAGAAACAAAGTAGTCTGAATTGGACACTTTACTACAACAATTTCTGAAATTATTCCAAGAACTAACTAGATTGCCTCCAAAAAGAAGGTATGATCATAAAATCACACTAACAAGCAATATACCTGTTTGTTTACGATCATACAGGTACCCCCCTCATTACCAAAAGGTAGAAATTGAGAGGCAAGTCAAAACATTGCTGTCCATTGGCTTTATTAGAGAAAGTTCAAGTTGTTATGCATCACCTATAGTCTTGGTCAAGAAGAAAGATGGTTCCTGGAGATGCTGCACAAATTTTAGAAAACTTAATGCTCTCACGGTCAAAAATAAATTTCCAAATCTCTTAATTGAAGACCTTTTGGATGAATTACATGGTGCCAATTACTTTTCTAAGTTGGATTTAAGGAGTGGCTACAATCAAGTGAGGATGGCTGAGGAGGATATCTACAAAACAGCCTTCAGAACACATAATGGACTTTATGAATGGGTGGTTCTACCCTTTGGCCTCAACAATGCCCCTACAACTTTCCAAAACTTAATGAATGATATCTTTAGGAAGCATTTACGAAAATTCATTCTAGTGTTTTTTTGATGATATTCTAGTTTACACTAAGACATGGGAGGATCATCTCAAATTCTTGCAAATAACTCTACAAATACTACAATACAACTCTCTAGCCTTAAACTTGAAGAAATGCAGTTTTGGCAAGTCACAAGTGGGTTATTTGGGACATCAAATATCAGCAACTGGCGTGCAACCAGATCTTGCAAAAATTGCAGTTGTATAGCAATGGCCACAGCCTAAAAATCTAAAAGAAATCAGAGGCTTCTTAGGATTATCAAGATATTACAGAAGGTTCATAAAAGGATATGAAAAAATACTAGCACCTTTAACTAGTCTTTTATAGAAGAATGCAGGATACAAATGGAATGAAGTAGCTAATGAAGCATTCAACAAGTTAAAACAAGGATTAACTTCATCACCTGTTTTGGTTTTACCAGACTTCACACAACCTTTCACAATAGAGACGGATGCTTCGGGCATGGGGATAGGAGCAACACTCATGCAATCAAACCACCCAATTATGTACATAAGTAAAGCTATGGGTCCAAGGTATCAGCTCCTATCAGCATATGAAAAATAGTTTTTTGCTATTCTATTTGTAGTAAAAAAGTGGCAACATTACTTCTTAGGTCAACATTTTATTATCAAAACAGACCAAAAGGCTCTTAAGCATCTCCTTGAACAACCACCTATGACACTCATGCAAAATTGGGGACTAGAGAAATTAATGGGATTGGATTTCAGTATTGAGTACAAGAAGGGAAAAGAAAATATTGCAACAGATGCTTTATCCAGAAATGAAGGTAAAGGTACCTTAGCCACACTTTTGATTTTGACATCTCAATTGATAGAAGAGGCCAAAGACTCTTGGAAGGCAGATCATAAATTACAGCTACTCGACTTCTTATATTAAAAGTGATTGGTGTATCTACTTCAAAGATACTATTGTTCCATACTATTATGAAAGAATATTCTGGTAAAGTATGCACTTCCTCGAGAATGAAAAAAAGCGATCTACTTTGATTTGGTATTTTGGCTTAAATTCTTTAACTCCTTTATACTCAATTAAAAAATCCTTTTTTTAAAAGGTAGTGGATATAATCAGATTGACACAACAACCTTGTAAGCATTACACTTATGATGGAGAATTTCTTAGGAGGAAAGGTAGCTTGTGGTAGGAAATGATTTAAATTTGAAGACTAAAATCCTACAATAATTTCATAACCCAGCCACTGGTGGACATTTCGATTTTGAGCTAACTTACAGGAGAATCAAAGAAAAATTTCATTGGAAAGGAATGCAAAAGGAGGTAAAACAATGGGTACAAGAATGTGACACTTGTCAACAGAATAAACCTATATTGCAATTACCTGTTGACCTGTTAAAACCTTTGTCAATCCCTAATAGAGCATAGAAATCTATATCTATGAATTTCATAGTTGGTCTTCCTAAATCCAATTATATGACTTTTATTTTTGTGATAA